GCAACATTTGGGCCCGAAAGCAGAAATGCCTGGGTCCGTGGGCACAGGCCTAGGGGTGGAGCCCTAGCCAGGGACCCGTCCTTCTCTACCCAGGACTTTCCTGCCCCCATCCTGTATCACTACCCTGCTCTATCCCAAACGGAGAACCAGCATTCTCATGCTGAAGTAGTCGGTGCTTCCCAGCACCAGCCTGCCTTTACAGAACACTGAGCTTTCATGTTTGATCACATGGCTCAAAGAACCAGCCTAAGAGAGTGTGAATGTGGCCAGTGTTACCACTGCCTTGTCTGGATCCTGTTTCCCGCACATGGGTCTAAGCAACTTGAATCATTAAAATTATACGTACAGGTAACAACACATGGAACCACGCGAACACCCTCCAAATGTAAGTGGGGATATTTCTTAGTGGATTAAGAAAAGTACTAACATTTCCTAGCTGCACTTCTTGTGTGAACTTTTAAATCGGTACTTCCAGAACTTAGAATATTTCCGATACAGCACAGTGATTACAACACACACACACACACACACACACACACACACGCACCCACTGAATATATTCCAGAGGAGCCTGCTTTGTGTTCTGTTCTCCAAGCACAGCGAGAACAGCCACAAGTTCCTCTACAAGAAATGACGGGAAATCTTGGAAGTTATTCCCACTCTTTGGGAGCTCTGCGAGAGCTTTGTTCCCATGGAGATGGCTTCTGTTGCCTCAGAAAGAAAGTGGGTTTAGCCTCTCAGCACAGCAAAGCGCGCAGTCCTTCTGTGGAAGGACGAGCAGAAGCTGGGCAGGCTGTTCCTCCATCAGAGGAAGAGAGGGGGACATTGCCACAAATACTGGCCAGGATTATCCACCTTCTGTGGGGAAACCCAAGAAGACCCACAGGGACTTTTCCCTGCATATATTGTATGCCAGTTCCTAAAAATTAGTATCTACTGCCCCATTTGGGTCATTGTATGTTGGGAGAAATGTAACCATGACAATTACCCCAAGAGTCAATGAAGTCTTACTCAGTCTGCACATGCCCTACAGTTTTTGATCATTCTCTTATTTCGAGATCAGAGCTTGGTGAATTTCCAAATATTTTTCCATTCTGTGCACTGTACTGGTCACCATGGAGCTCTTCATAAGAACAGGACCTACGCTCACAAGAGCACACCTGATCTGAAGAAAGAGGATGGGATATGTGAATCCCACACTTTAAATATGCGTAGGTGTAGCTGTGTGTAGTTGCAGTTTTAGGGACTGAATATCTAAAAGGCTGAGGCGTGAGCACCCACGGAACGCGGGCACGGCTGTGTGGGTGAGCCACTCTGGATCTGATATTAAGGGTTCTTTCATAGCAACGCTCTTCCCTTCTCACTCCCTCCTCCTCCTCAGAGGGGAGAGCGGTGAATAATTTAACATTCCAGACCCCACATACCTCATCCCACCTGAAGGATCATGCTGTTCAGGTCAGTCTGCTGATAACAGGGAAAGTTGGGAAGTTGCATTTTGAATCTTAGACAAGTTGTAGAGACAACACTAGAAGTAGTATCACATTTTCTTCCTCCATTAACACATTCCTGGTTGAAGACACAGGAGCCTAAAGGAAGATATGTTGAGTATTGTTTATTCTGTAGCCTTTGGGATCCTGTGATCATTTGGAAACAAGGAACCACAATAAGAAACACAAAGCAAACATCAGCTCCACAGTTTCCTTCACAAAACTTTGGTGAGGGTTTCTGTGCTTATCAACATGGTAGGGGGAAAACCCAGTCCAAGTCCCCCTACCTGGTACTGTAATGTTTTCAAGGACATTCCAATTATTCTTGATTGTTCTAAAATTTGAATTTATTTTACCTTCGAAAACGTGAAAATTTTCCCTGAATTTTGTCTTTTAGGCATTGGAACCCGCTTTTGGAAATATTTCACCTCCGTCGGCTGATGAAGAGACAATGCCCAAATACGTTGGCCGCAAGAATCAGAGTGCCACTCTCCTGGGACAAAGATCGTCATCTAACAATTCAGCTCCTCCAAAGGTGAACCTTTGTGCTTAGCATCTGTAAAGAGCAGCAGAAGTTCTGTAAACAAACACACACAGCCCATCAGCTCCTCACCACACAATTTCTCCTCCCTGGGTGAGCATGGTGCTCCCTGGAGTCCTGACACACCCCGTCAGCTCCTCACCACACAGTTTCTCCTCCGTGGGTGAGCATGGTACTCCCTGGAGTCCTGACACACCCCGTCAGCTCCTCACCACACAGTTTCTCCTCCGTGGGTGAGCATGGTGCTCCCTGGAGTCCTGTGTTCTTCCAAGGACACAGTGCATGCCTTTCAAACAAGTTCCTAACCCTTAGCACTTCTTGCTGCAGAGCAGATTCCAAGTCCTCCTGCTGCTTCCCTCTGAGCGCACTCACAGCAGCAAGCGTCTGGCTGGGCCGAATGGACTTGGGGGCTTTGTTTCCGTGGGTGCAGCCTGCAGAGGTGATGTGCATGGCACTCTCTCCACGTGCCGTGGCCATTGTGTCTCAGGGCTCACAGCCTCCCGCACTCCCTGCTTCTGCACTGCTGTCTTGCACCTGCTGCTTGTCGGCGTGGACTCCTCTGAACTGGGGTTGCACTGTTAGCTTTGGGGCCACAGTATAGGATGCTATTTTGTTTCTTGTTGGGAATAGGCCCCCAAATCTGGCCATAAACTGGCCCCAAAACTGGCCATAAACAAAATCTCTGCAGCACTGTGACATGTTTGTGATGGCCATGATGCCCACACTGAAGGTTGTGGGTTTACCAGAATGAGGGCAAGGAACACCTGGCCCACCCAGGGTGGAAAACCGCTTAAACACGTTCTTAAACTACAAACAATAGCATGCGCGATCTGTGCCTTAAGGACTTTCTCCTGCTGCAGATAACTAGCCAGAGCCCATCCCTCTATTTCGGCCCATCCCTTTGTTTCCCATAAGGAAGAATACTTTTAGTTAATCTATGATCTATAGAAACAATCAAATTATCACTGGCTTACTGTCAATAAATATGTGGGTAAATCTCTGTTCGTGGCTCTCAGCTCTGAAGGCTGCGAGTCCCCTGATTTCCCACTCCACACGCTCTACTTCTGTGCGTGTGTCTTTAATTCCTCTAGCGCCGCTGGGTTAGGGTCTCCCTGACCCAGCTGGTCTCAGCAGTCTCTATCAAATTTTTCTTTGTTAAAATTAGATCCTCTTTAGAACATTCTGCCAGCCAGTGTGTCTCTTCCTGTCCTAGCTTTGTGTCACCCTCATACTCAGGAGGCAAATATCGTGAGTCCTCAGCCAGCAACTGATACCCCCAACTCCTGAAGATGATTTATCCCTTTGCATTCTTTCCCAAAGCAACTGCTGGTCAGATAACACTTTATTCCCTGAAGAAAGATCAGAAGTCGACTCCAAGCATTTGTCACAAGTAGGAAAATAGCTTTTTCAGATCTATGAGTACAAAGCATCGCAAGTCCCAGGATGGACTGCACAGGCCCAGCCTCCTGTGAGATACGGACTTCTCTCATGCTCCCTCATGGACCTGAGTTAATCACAGGCATGCTGGGCAATGTACGAGCAAATAGATAACTGAATGTGTGGCTTATCCACGCCTTGAAACCATCACTTTTTAAATAGCGCAAAAGGTAGACAGTTATTTTTATTATGCATTTTTGAATTGAGCTTCAAGCACTTTATTTCACTGCTGACTTTATTCTACAATATCAGCCATATATTGGAATCCTGAATTCCACAGGAGCGTGGGCTGTAAAATGGGGAATCAGAGACACCAAGTAGTGGATGCCACCTGTGTCCTTCTGTAGGAAGCAGAGGTAGAATCATCTGGATTCTGTGATACCTGGTGTGATGTGTTGCTTAACATTTAAAAAATATATAACGGCTACTAATGCAAACATTTCCCACATTTATTTTCAGCCAATGAGTTTAAAGATAAGAAGAATTAACTTGTGGAAAACAACACCACAGGAAAACAGAGCTAAAAGTCTTTCCGGGAGACGTCAAGGCAGAAGAGCAACACCCACTGGAAGGCCGACTCCCTGTGCAGAGAGACGGAGGGTGTCTGAAGATGGAAAGGTGGCCTCGGACACCTGTGCCACTCTACACTGGCTGAATGGAAAATTCAGATTCAGAGAAAGTTCCACTTAGGTCTAATAAAAGTACTCAATTTGTTATTCAAAATAGACCAAGTAATTTATTCAACTAATATGTTTCTATAGATAAAACCTTGAATTTCTTCAGAAATGTCTTTAATACTATAAAAGCAAACAACTTGAATTGGGTTTTAAAAATCAGTTGCTTTCCTGAGCTCTGTAGTTGGTATATTTCTGCAGAGTCTTTTGACCTACCCTGTAGTGCGGGGTGCAGGGCTGTTGGGTGAGCCCTGGCGTCTTGCTGGAAATCGAGGATGGCTGAAGATGGCTTTGTGCTCCCAGCCTTTGGGCTCAAGGTATTGCCCACTCCAGGGACCTTGTGACAAGGCAGGCCTGTGACTGTCGTTGCTCCAGGCTATGCATCCATCTTCCTGAAGTCTGCAAGACTCGAGGGGCAGAAAATCACCAGTACAGGCTTCCCAGGCCGCCATGCTGCAGGAGCAGATGGCAGCAGCCAGAGGAGCTGGTGAGCAGGGTCCGGGACTCCTGTTTCCATGCTCCCAGTAAAATGCGGGGCCTTCTTGTGGATACTCGTGAGCAGAACATCTTACTATGGCAAGGACATGTCCTTCATGGAGCTGCCTAATTTGTGGCCACTTTTTGTCTGATTCTCTCATTGGTTTCTTACCTGTGAGACTTGCCGACATCCCCAGCCCTTCACCCCACACACAGCCCACATGTCGGTCTCTAGGGGCCATGACTGGAGATTCCGAATCCTAGCGGTCACTTCCCTCTGAGCATCTGGGGGAAGGCGTCTGGCTGGGGCTGGGTGGACCTGGGTGCTTTGTTCCCCTTTCTCCATTTGCCAGCCCACGGCGTTGCTGCCACCCTGATGGAGTGCCCTCTCGTGTGGCACCTGCCTGGCTCCTTTCCCAAGCCCCAGTTCTGTCCATGCAGCTGTGGGTGCTTCCTGCACTGGGGGTCCCGCCGGGAGGAGCCAAGAGTGGCCCTGGGGGAGTCAGGAAAGAATTCCCTCTTCACCTCACTGCCAGAAAATGACCATAGCAGCTTCGCCACCCCTGCAGGAACCTATCTCGGTAAAGAAATGGAGCCTATGTGGTGGCCGAGCCTCAGGTGTGGCCAAGCTTCGGGTGTGACCCTTATGCACAGCACAGCCCAAGCCTGCGGATACCATTCGCCCTGGGCTGCCTGGCACCTGGACTTCTTCCCATCCTTGGCCAAGGCCTGTGTGGCCCTTCAGGGCCGAACCCGACACTTGTCTTCCTCCTGAGTCCGCTCCCCCGGCCTCCTGCCCCCAAGCTGCTTCATGGCCTCTGCAGGGAGCTTCGTAGAGGTGAGGCTGGTACCGTCTGTCTGCTTCAGACCACCGCAAGCTCTGCATGCCCTCACAGTCCCCTCGGTGCTTCTCTGTGGGGTGGGGAAGCCCTTCCCATGAGGTCTGCACTAGCCTGGCTGCCTTGTTCCCACCGGCCCCCCCTCCCCTTCAGGCCCCCAGACAAGATCTCAGTTTACTTGCTGGTGCCGGGCAGAATGGGGAACCTTGTCTCCCACCCACTTGCTAGCATCTGCGCAACCTCCAGGCATCATCTCAGCTGACAGTGACGCCATCCTGGGGAGGCTCCCCTGACCCCCGGCTCTCCTGGAAGCCTGTGGTGCTCCTTCACCCTTCATAGGTCTCGTAAGCCAGTGTCACAAGGATCCGGCTTTTCTCTCCTGTGTCTGCCTGCCGTGGGACTGTGGGCAGCTTCAGGGCCCAGAGAGTGCCTTTCCATCCGTGAATCTCCTGATCCGTCAGAATACTCGGAAGAGAGTGATGCTCAAGAAACACCACGGAGTGTATTCAGTAAAGAATTAATGCTCCTGACAGGATCATTTGTTGTTGAACTGACCTGACATGTGTATAGTAATCTCATGAACAAGAGAGAACGTGTTCATACGTTCGCTTAAACTGAATGTAGCAATCACATTAGGATAATGATACTTCCACAATGTATATGCACTATCTTTTTAAATTTAACTTATTTGCTTTTTAGACGGAAGCTCGTCAGTCTTAGAGAGTTCTGAAGGTGGATTTCTCAGCCACGTTCAACCTGATGAGTTACCGGTTCTTCCCCACTTATTTGCTTTTTAGGTGGAAGCTCATCAGTCTTAGAGAGTTCTGAAGGTGGATTTCTCAGCCACATTCAACCTGATGAGTTCACCGGTTCTTCCCCAAACATTGCAGAGCTGCAGTTAGGTGGGCTGAGTGGCTTCTGCAAGGGCGGCCCACCTAGTTCCCCTGAGGGAGACCTGAGAAGGTGACCTTTTCATCTTGGGGAAGTGACATGCGGAGTGTCAAGAGATGGTTGCATCTTCTTTTTTTTTTTTTTTTTTTTTGAGACGGAGTCTCGCTCTGTCGCCCAGGCTGGAGTGCAGTGGCCGGATCTCAGCTCACTGCAAGCTCCGCCTCCCGGGTTTACGCCATTCTCCTGCCTCAGCCTCCCGAGTAGCTGGGACTACAGGCGCCCGCCACCTCGCCCGGCTAGGTTTTTTTTTGTATTTTTTTAGTAGAGACGGGGTTTCACCGTGTTAGCCAGGATGGTCTCGATCTTCCGACCTCGTGATCCGCCCGTCTCGGCCTCCCAAAGTGCTGGGATTACAGGCTTGAGCCACCGCGCCCGGCCAGTTGCATCTTCTTGACAAGAGTAGAAAATTAAGATGATTCCAAATGTCTCTTTATTTCCTGAAGTACAGTCTTTCAAACAGAGACTTTTTTTTTTTTTTTTACAGATTTAAGTTGGTTGCATTTAGCACATAGTCAAACAAGATTAATATTTTTCATGGCTTAAGAGTTTCCCAAGTCAAAGTTTCATTTTTTATCATTTTGATTTACAGTTCTCAATTGACATTAATAGACTGGAAGGCAAGAATAGCAAACATACTTCTAAGCCCTAGCTAGTGGTCCACTTGTAACAAGCTATATTTTACAAAAAATGTCAATAAAATGAAATTATTTTCTCTACGGCAGGGAATTTGGGCTGTGAACTTCCGTGTGATGTAAAAGTAGGCACCTGGCGGGGGAGTCTGGGAACACAGGTCCTGCCTGTTTTCTGTTCGCCCGAGAAAAACCCACATTCTGTTCTGCCCTTTGCAACATCTTCAGTGAGGGGACGAGTGGGAACATTTTTCTTGGAATTTGATTTTGTTTGGGGATCCAGCTAATAGGTTTGCCTGGAAGCCTCAGGGTTAATGATCTGCATTTAGAAAGAGCGCTGCAGTCATGGCAGGTGGTGTCTCTGTGCGTTATTTGTATCAGGTGTTGAATGTGGCAGTTGTCACTGTGGCCACCCTGACCCCAGAGCAAGCGTACGAGTAGGAGATAAACACTTTAATACAACACAAAACGTGGTCCCAAGTCCTGGTGCTGACGGTCCGGGGCTCAGCTGCGCCCACTGACTTAGAAGCAGAGGCTGCAAAATGCCAGTGCAACGTGCATTTCTCCCAGGTGAAGGACTGGGAACTCCACCTCGGTCCAGTCCTCTCTCCCACTAGCCTAGAGCCACAGTGTCTTGATTTCTGGGCTTGGGTGACAAGCCCTCTCCCCATGCCTCCTTGCTGTGGAGTGTGTCCATGGACAAGGTCAGCCCACTCCTACCTGCTGGGACGGTACTTTTACCCACCTGCGGGAACGACTTTACTAGATTAAATCCAGATTCAAAATGATAACACAAACTGCCTCCCAATATAGGTGTTTCTGGTGCTTACAGATTTACTATTATGCAAATGCACAGACCACACACACGACCCACCCTGATGGTTTGGAAGTTGTGCAGTTTCTTAACAAGCAGACAGGTGAGTGATGTCACCAGGAACCCGCGTGGGTAGGTGCCTTTACCTGTGAGTGTGCAGAGGTGTGGAGACTTGCAGGTTAGCAGACACCCGAGCCCTGTAGGCAAGTTCCCTACAGCAGCAGATGTCCAGATAATTTGGGGCTTACCCTGCTTAATGAATGTTTTCCGGGTTCTTATCCAAGAACCGTGAGCCTGTGGCTTCCGTGCCAGTGTGTAAGTGCACCCAGGTCTGGATGCCTCTGTAAATACCATCAGACCTCAGTCAGGGGCTTGTGTTTTAGCTTTTCTGGGTCGACCTGGCTACATGGCTCGAGCAGCAACCTGGATAAATGGGTGTTACTTATTCGCACAGTATGGTCAGCTCATTGTCCTAAAAGCCACCATATTCTTTCCCGAAGTCTCGCCTGGACTCTAAAATGCCATCCTCTGGGTAACTCCTAGGTCTCTTGGGAACTGGGCTGCACAGCAGGAGGTGAGCAAGCCAGGGGAGCTTTATCTGTATTTACAGCTGCTCCCCATCGCTCCGTTAGGCCTGAGCTCCGCCTCCCTCAGATCAGTGGCAGCATTCGATTCTCATAGGAGTGCGAACCCTCCTGTGAACTGTGCAAGCGAGGGATCTAGGTTGTGCACTCCCTGAGAGAATCTAATGCCTGATGATCTCTCACTGTCTCCCCTCACTCCAAGATGACACCCTCTAGTTGCAGGGAAAAAAACTCAGGGCACCGAGTGCGGTGGCTCACGCCTGTAATCCCAGCACTTTGAGAGGTCAAGGTGGGCAGATCACAAGGTGATGAGTTCGAGACCAGCCTGGTCAACA